GCCCTTGGGCCTGTCCTTGACCCTGGGGATGAGGCTTGGTTCAGCATCAGTGCCAAGCTGCAGTCCAGAGACTTCACTTCCATTTCTGCAGTTGCAGTCTAAGAGTGAACTTGACTTTTGGAACACCAGAGTTCACAATACTTGTCTTGGCTCTGGACATCTCCAAGAAGCTGGAGTAGTTGGGGATTTGGGGAGAACCTTGCATATACAGCTTGACAAATCCATTAAAATTTATGTATCCTACAACTTATTTCTGGAGTAAGCTGGCTGGTTAGACTTCAAGAGGAGTGGTGCTGCTAGAACCATCTCAGAGTTTGGATGTGGGCTAGGTGTGTGTGGCTAGCCTTCCTAGCAGATCCTATCCATCCAGGTGCCTTTTCAGTTTAGATGAGAAATAACAGCAACATTTTCTATCAAGGACAAACTCTTGCCAGTGGATTTTATTTTGTTCATGGAAGTTCATCTTTGTTCCCCAAGAATCAGAACCCAGAATAGTTGTGTCGGCTGGATAGAGTATTCAGGTGGGATTATGGAGGAGCCAGGAACTCCAAAGCCATATGGGGCTCTATGGCTCTTCCAGCTCTGTTAAACAGCTGCCCCATGAAAGGCCATTCCGGGGTATGGCAAGAGGCCTCAGCCAACACTGGGGTAACAGGATAGAGAGTGAGACTACACTGCCAGCCCACTTTAGCTTTCCTTTTCTATCTGGTGCTTAGGTTCTGGCAGCGGATCTGAGGATCTGTGGTTGTTATCACAATGCCATCATTCATTGGAACAAAATCATTCCTTGTAACTGGAATATAGTTACTATAAATGACATATGTCTTGGGCATTCTATTTCTAATAATTATAATTATGCTAGAATACTTGCTGTTCATGTAACAACAATGATCTACCAGTTCTCCATTCCAGACCAATAACTCCACCTGAACATGCTCTTTGTTCAGGAAATAGAAAAAAAAAAAGGAGGTAATTCAACATCCCTGGTGGCAGTCAACAAAGCCAATGTTGAAAGCATTCCTGAGGATACAAGATGGTGGTGGGGAGATGAGAAGCCACCTGGCGGCCTCATGCTTGGCTTGTTACAAAAGGACTCTGTCTGCATGCCCCCCCCCCCGCCCCTTTAAAGGGTAAAAACAAATGAGAAACTAGGGACCTGCAGAAAAGTTTCTGAGCACTGGGTGTCACCTGCATTCCGAGAGGGTAGGTCTTGGCCTGAGCGTCCATAGGAGGAGCTGCAGGCCCGAGGCTGAGTATGAATCACCTTGTGAGGTAAACTTGTAACCCTTAGCCTTCACTGGGAACTCACCCTATACGGGCACTTCTTGGACATGGATTTCTTTTCAGTGCTTTCCAAACTTGTGCCTACTGACAGTTAGTGGAATTTAGAGATCACATAGACTGATAGCATCATTTTATGTATATTTAAATACAGATTTACAGATCTCTGACACCTGTAAATCTTGCTGGCTTGAGTATGGACAATTCTTAGCAGTCACGTGACAGCTATGGTTTGCATCTGGAGTGCCTCCCATGTATCAAAGTCTTGATCCCCAACATGGCACTATTGGGAGGTATGGTAGGAATTTTAGGAGGTAGGCCTATTGGCAGGCCTTAGGTCCTTGAAGATGGTGGGATCTCTCTCTCTCTCTGTCTCTGTCTCTCTCTCTGTTCACCATGAGGTGAATAGTTGTTCTACCATGTACTTCCTGCTTGATATGCCATCTTACCACCAAATAGAATGGGTCTGCACAACCATGTAATGAAACTTCCAAATCTGTGAGACCAATTAGCCTTTTCTCTTTGTAAGTTGACTTATCTTGGGCATTTAAACATAATTAACAAAATAGAAAAACTTTGTAGTACCATGCTTTGAATAAGTTCTTTAGCTGGAGTAAAGAGGAAACTTGTGTCTGGGCATTTCTATAAAAATCAGCTTTCAATTGTGTACTTTTCTTTGTTATCCCAAATTCTTACTAGTATCTCTACCCATAACAACAAACAAACAACAACAAACAGCAATAACAAAGCCTAGGGACTTTGTTTTTAGATCTGAAGACCATGGCCTCTTATCCTTGAGAGTACTTATTTACTTTATTCTTCATTGGTACAATGACTAGGTAGGTAGATGTTACCACAACAACCCTACAAAGTAGTCAATCCTGTCTTTATCCCTGTGTCCACATTCAAAATGGCCCTGCTATTGAGCTGGGTAGAATGCAAATCTCAGTGTGGCCAAAGGCATAGCCTTAGTGCTTTCTTCTCTTAGAATAAATAAACATCCAAGATAGAGAGGAACACAGAGCAGGCGATGAAGGAGACCTGGCTACTCCAAGCTACCCTAGAGCTTTGTACAGCAGTGGCCGGCTGCAATATGCAGCACCCAGAAACTGGAAAAGATTGAAAGGCAAGGATAGGTAGATTCATCTCTATGTCCTCTATTGGCCCATATTCCTCCAGGCCTTTTCCTTTCCTAAGAAAGCCCTGGTATCCAATCCCCTGAGAGCTCCTGAGTTCTGAGCTTCTGCCAATACCAGGCATAAATGGGGTGGTGTGCCCGACTCAGTCTGGGTACCGAAGGGCATCATTTTCCTATAAAGATCCTTGTATTGAAAACATGATGAGCTCTTGTTTTGTTCTCATCTGGTTCTTTTCCTTCTTTTTCTTCTTCCTTTTGAGCAGCAGGTGCAAGTTCCTTTCATGCATTTAAAAGAAAGAAACTTGGAATGAGAAGAGCGAACGAACAAGAAAGAAAGAGCAGAAATGGCCCACCTCCTTCACTGTAATTAAATGATGAGAGGCCTTTGCTATCTACCAGATAGCTCAATTGTTTTTGCTTTCATTTTAGTCTTGGGCCTCTCCATATGTGAAACCTCTGCCAGATAAATAAACCAATCTGGAAAAAAAATAATAAACTGGTCTGACTCTCATCAGGCGGTGTGCAGGAAATGACATAGGATGTTTCTTAGGAACCTGACCCCTGACCTTGGAGGGGGTGGCCTGCCCCTTTTGAGTCTGTGCTCAAGATAAAAGCCTACCTAGGCTGATGCGCCTATGCAGCTGTACCAGCTCTTCTTGCTGAAGGTATACCTGCTGGTTGTCTGACTCACATCTCTCCTATTACCTTTAGATCTATCTCATCTTTGTTAGAGAAAAGCAGAGCACTGACACATACACAGGAGAAATACACACACTCCTGATTAAAGCAAGATGTCACCACTTTCTCCCCTTTCTCTGATTAGGAATCAGAGCAGCCAGTTCCAGCCAGCCAGCTCTCACTGCAGAGGGAGTGGGTCCTGCACTTCCACAGTGAGGCTGACAGAAGCTTTCTAAAAGTTAGCACAAAGTGGCTTCTGGCCTCTTCCTAGTTTTCCAGACTGGCGATTTAGGCAGAATTTGTATGCACAGAGAAACTAAAAAAAAAGTGAAATAAAAAGTAATCCAGTTATTGGGGAAGGACAAAAGCTTCTGCTCATGTAATTGTCTTGACAGAAGTTTCCAGATTTCTGGGGTTCTCTGAACCAGGGCCATTCTCTTTTCCTGAAGCCCTGCCGCTGCCTGCCCTTTCCTCTAAAAGAAATGACCATCCACTTCCACCTGCAGACCTTTTACTTACATCAGGGCCTGGGGAATTTCTGGAGGTTACACATAGTCCAGTTGTGTTTGCCCTGTGCTTGGGGAGCTCATGCTACAGGCATGGGTTGGGGGTGCTCACTGACTTCCCTCTCGGCCTCAGGCACGAGATAACTTCCCTCCTTCCATCAAGGTTCTGTTTAAGATGTACAAATCCAGGAGAGGAATGATGGCTATGACAGGCATTTCTGTTCTGCCCCCAAGAAGCCCCTATTCACTTTAACATCAGGACAGTTCCCTACTCTCACAGTTATGGGACTCGCTACTGAATATTGCACCTGTGCAGTAGGTGAAGAGTGGGCCCGACTAAGACTGGGGGAGGAGGTGAAGGGACAAGAGCCTGAGTCCAGCGTACAGTGAGAGAGCGCAGGCCAGGCTGCCAACAGCTCTGTCACACAGGAGATCTGTGTGATGGGAAGTCTGTGGAATCCAATCAGTGCTATATATGTATAGTCACAGTTATATTGATCAATCTACCTCTGCGATAAACAATAGCACCCTAAAGCACTTACTCTGCCCAAACAACTGGACCAGCAATGGTACTTACCAGCTCATAAGAAATGCTCTAATGTTTGAACAATATACGTTCCCAAAGTGTGCTTAATGCTTGCTATCTTCCAGGTCTTTGACAGAGGCAGCAGCACAAGGAAGAACATATTTTATTGATGAAGGGTTTTCAAGAAGAATAAAAATTAGCAGGAAAGGGCTGCAAGGGTAGCTCAGTGGTAAAATATTTGCCTGGCATGTACAAGGCTCTAGGTTTGATTCCTAGCAGTGGAAAAAAAGCCACAGACACTAGGAAGAAAAGGAAATACAATACATCATTGTGTAGAGCCTATTATCATTTGAGGTCCTTCAGCCTGGACATCAGACTCTCCAGGAGGTTAATTGAATCCAGGCCTCCACACTTCTCATGTGCTCTGGTAGGGTTGAGCAGGGAACTCTGTCTTTCTCCCAAGGTGATGTAGATGTTACTGGATTGGAGAACCATGGCTGATTCATTAACCATTGTCACCATCTTTATTCTACTTTTAACTTTACTTGTTTTTTCCTATGACCAATGCTCTAAGAAACAGCTGGAGAGCCTATCCACCATATTCCCATTATTTCTCTGTGGAATTGTTTTAGTTCTTACCTGGTGTGTGGAGGAGACTCTTGTCCCTTTGTCTGCACCTAAGTCTCCAGGGACACCCAGAACCCAGGGCCTCAGCAGAGTGTGGCTTATCCACTGTTTGCACGAAGTGCCCTGAAGAGCCAGGGCTGGGGAGGAAAGGAGAAACTCTGAGCTGTTTCCCTTTGTTTCTCCTCTTAAGGGAAGGCCTTCCAAGTGTGGCCCACACTCACAGCCAGTGGCTGTTGGGACCTACCTCAGGTAACCTCACGCGGCCCTCCTGGAAGGAGCAAGTCTTGGGGTCGTGGGTGCAGACGTGCCGGTATTTACACCAGTGGCAGCGGTATGGGCTCTCCACACAGGACAGACAGCTGGGCACAGAGAAGAGGCATAGGTCACAGAACTGGGGAGGCCTATAGCTGAGAACGTAGGTCATCTCTAATGTCTTACAACACATTGACTTACGAGAAACCATCCTCCACTGCTCAGGAAGGTGAGGTTCTGAACAGACCCATCCCTTTCCCTCTAAGGCTCAGAGAGATAATACTCTCACACCTTCTGTCCCTCACTGAGAGCTAAGAGATCTGCTCTGCAGATCCAAGTGAGATGCACTGCCCTCAGCAGCTGGTGGGAAGGAAATCAGGTTATGAAGATTTATGCCACAGAGAAGATGTACAGGCCGGGGATTTGAAGAGAGGATGCCATAGTTTCTCACTCTTAGCTCTTTCTAGTCCTGTTTGGTTTACCCTGTGAGTACCATAACAGAGGAACCTGTCTTCTTTGGAGCTTCACACATCCTTGGAACAGCAGTGGGGTCATCTGATCTCTGTGTGAACCTTGACCATGGGAACAGGAAACAGGGAGGCTGGGCCACTTACGAGTTGTGAACGCTGCAATTGTAGAAGACGAAGCTGGTGCTGGCGAAGGTCATGCCTGTCTCCTTTGACTTGAGTTGCAGCTGTACGACATGGTGATCTCCTACGGCAGAGCCAGTCAAGGAGTCAGGGGAAGACCAAGGTCCAAGTCCGGGTCCCATTGGCAGTAATGAACTCTGGGAAAGAGAACCTGCTCTCCAGGGTTGCTGTCAGCTCCCACAGGTCTCTGGTTCAGTAAGGCCCACCCATTCCTACAGTCATGAAAAAGCAGCTGCAGAAAAAGCATCTGTCCTAGCCTACTATACTGCTTGTTATTACCTCAATTTCTCTTCTTGCTCATGTGTAGACACTGATATATACATATATATATACATATTATATATCTATATTCATGTCATCACATGCATTGTGTGCTCTCTGGTCTCACAGCTATAAATATACACACTGATGGGCAACCAGGGAGGAAAACCATGTCACCTCTCAGGAATGTTGTCACCAACAACACAAGTAGCATTACGTGTGTGTAATTGTGTATATACAAAGCTCATCCTCCATCTCTCTGTGGAGAGATTCAGTTCTTATGCCACGTCCACTGTGGGACTCAGTTCTACAGCAGGCAGGAGGCACTGCATCCTCAGCTGGCGCCAAGAGAAGCTGGAGCCCATGTTTAATTCACAACCCTGACCCCAGGCCTCACTTCTAGCCTTGTTCTCTGCCTTTCCTGAGAGCCTCATTAATCAATCAGCTTGGAACAAATGTGACAAGACCAAATAGGAGGGACACCATGGCATCAATCTGTCCAGGCCAGGCTATCCCTTGCTCGTGTTGAGCCTTTGTCCACCCCTTCTTCCCCAGTGCAGCTGGCCACAAACTGTAGGCAGCTGTTGGAGGCAGGATAGGGTAGAATGCTGAGGCTATAGCCCAGGGTCAGAGACCCAGCCATGTGAGCAGACAGAGACAGAGCAGGTGACTTCCATCCTCCTATCTGGCTTCTGAACAACTTCTCTTCTTGAACTGCCTTTCCAGGCCACGCAAAGTGGGCTGATCACCACTGACGTGTTTTGCTGCTTATTGGCCTTGCCTTCACCTATATCTCTGCAGCTGCTCCTCACTTATGATGAGACAGACTCTTGAATGCTAACCTGGGGCTGAGTTAGAAGGACTGTCACAGCCAATTCCAAGGGTAAAGGAAGAAAACATCACCCCCCCACTTCTTTGTGGAAGGCACCTCCAGCCCACTTCCTATGACCCACCCCTGCAGGTAGGTCCCTTCAGATCCCCTATATCTATCTGGATTGCTCTTATCCAGGCAGGAAGAAGAGCCTGCCACCCAGCTTCGCCTGCTGTGCCTACTTACCGTTCTCTGTGATGATCCGGGGCACCTCCTTGGCTGCCGGGGAGTAGCATTGGATCTGATTGCCTACTACCAGCCCATCCATCTCTGACAGGTCCTCAAAGGTGCAGTTGACGCCAGCTGACAGCTCTGGGACATTGTATGTCTCTAAGACCAGCTGTCAACAGCTCAGCAAGGAGCAAGAGGGAGAGAGAGAGGGAAGGGTAGAGAGAATGAGGAAAAAGAGGGAAGAGGAGAGAAAGAAGGAGGAAGCAGAGGAGAAGGAAGAAGAAAAAGAGAGTGAAATGGGGAAAGGAAGGAAGAAAACCATATAGAAGAGAGGAGATATTAATATCAAGATGGAGGGACCAGTTTGTTATAAGAATGGTATAGAGAAGGAGGTGAAGGATGTAGAGACAAAGACAGGAAGAAAGAAATCCAGCTCATTAGAATATGAATGGTTTAGCCAAGGAAATGTGAATTTTTAGGGGATTTTTTTAATACTGAGAGGACCCTGGACAGGACAGAACAGGAGAGGGGTTACTGATAAGAGTCTATCTTCCTTGTTTTTCCCACAATTTTTGAAAAATGGCAGCACCAATCATCCAGTGTCCCGTATTGCGAATTGGAAGCTATCTGCCCACCATCCTTCATTTACATGTCTATCTTCCCTTCTAACAGATGAAGATCTTCTTCCCCACACCCTGTGCCATTCTTTTAGTTTTCACGGTTATGGTTATGGCCATTTTCCCTGTCTCCCTACACATTATGTTTAGACAGTCTGTTCTCCAGTATTCCTACCCATATCCCCTTCTTTGAGGCCCCAATGAATCCTGACCTAGAGTTGCTCTTGCTGGGCAAGTATAGTCCAGCCTTTGCAAGGGGCCTTGGGCTTACATTGTTTTTTTTTTTTTTTGTGGGTGTGGGAAGGGATTTTTTTCCACATTATACTGATCCCCAGTCCTTACCAGAACGTTGTACTGAGAGACAGAGATGTTGTTGGGATGGACTGTCAGCCTGACACACTGTTTTATCTCGGAGGCGAACCTGCGTGGTTCCCTGGATCGCTCACATCGTTCCTTCCGGGTACACCTGAGAAGAACAGACCAATGGGTTGCACATTATCCGGATTGTTGGGTTGATGGAGGGCAGCATCATTGAGATCAGGCATTTCAGCAGCTCTGAGGACTTCTCTCAAACTCAACATGTCCAGAAATGGCCATTTTCTTCTCCTTTCTAAAATTTGGTTTGTCTCCACAGTTCTAAAGTTGGTGAAGATGTTCATTCTTATCACCAATTGCCAAATACAGAAACTCACCCCTGCAAACTCATAAGGAGTTGCATAGTTGGTCTATCTGTCTATTCTACCTCCAATTCATCCTTAACCCTTGCTACCTTTCTTTCCTCCTTCAGTGAACCTTAGGTGTGTGTGTATGTGTCCCTGTGTGTGTGCTTGTTTGTGTGTGTTCTTCTGACTTTGATTTTTTTTACACATTAGTTCTGTCTGGGCTTCTCTACCTTTCCATTCTGATTCCTATCTGGCTTTCCAGACATGATTCAACTCCCATGCATTGCAATCTCTTCACCCTACTGTAGGTAATGCTAACAGAATCCTCCTTATGGTTCATAGCCCTCTGGAGTTTTGTATTGTCTAGAACTTAGATTATATGATGATTATTGGACTAAGTGCAGTCCTCTCCTATCAAGAGTGAGCTTCTCAAAAGAAGAAAATCTGTTTGATTTCTTTTGTTAAGTCCTAGTAGATGGATAATAAATGCAGGTTGGCAGAAGGGAGGACAGAGAGGATCAAAGGGGCAGAGGTAGCTGTTCACGGAAAGTTCTGAACTACAATCCCAACTCTGTGCTTAGGGGACTGCTATGTATAGTTTGCTGTCACTGTTCAATGTCCTGTGTTGTACAACGTGTACCATGTCACAGGTGCGTGCCTCCAGTGAGACCTGGGATCTTACTGGGATCTTCACTGGTAAGGGTTTGTGAAAGATTTACATGAAGACAAGAGCCATGCCTAAATGTGCATTCTCCATGAATTCATCGCATCGAGGCATCTGAGACTCAGGGTACCATATTTAATCCAAGCCATATAAGCCTCGGAGCAGTGCTGTGCACCCATGAATTATAATCTGGAGTCTGCTGAGTCTGCTGGAAGGAGGGAGAACAGGCAGAGCCCTCACCACAGGGAAAGCACTCCTGTCTTCCTCATCTCTTTAGGCCAGAGAAAGAAGATGTCAGGAGATGATGCAGGATGGGAGGGAGATCTGGAAAAGGTGTTTAGTAGGAAACAGAGCAGCCAGGGATGAGCAGCCAATTCTGGGAAGATATGTGGGGAGGGTATGTTTATGGGGCAGAGAAGTGTGATATAGGGCAAAGAGAGGAAGTAAGGGAGGCACTTGGACTTTCCAAGCAACTCTTGGCATAACTTCCAGGTCCAGAGGACAGTTACTCCACAGACATGGGGAAGGTAAGATATCTTTGGCCACAGAAAGAATAATCTAATGGTGAACAGTCTCAGTGGAGAATCTAGTCAGTGATGAGGAAATCACTGGAGGTCACAGATTAAAGCAGTCCACCCCCCAAGGAAGAGGAAGACTGGGGAGATACTGGGATCTTAGAGTAAGCTGGATGTGTAATATAAAACAGAAACAATCCTGAATAAATGAGATCACAATGTTAGTCACTGAGTGCTTAATAGGTTGGCACTGCGATAGAGGTTTTTCTGTGCATGCATGTAAAGTATCCCTAGAAACATTTAACCATTTCTATTCCATCCTTTTTCTATAGCTCATCTCTATTCTGCAATGTAATAGTGATATTGGACAGAGCTGAATTCTCCAGGATAAATTCTAAGAGATGCCATCCCAGGAGGGAAAGGTGAGACAGACGTGAGTCCAATCATCTCTGTGGCACTCCTTGCCTGCTGACAGACCAATGGCCACAAAAGCATCTGCCTTTGAGTCTTAGAAGTTAATTTACTACGCCAGTTTCTCAGCGAAGACTCCATTACCTTCAGCCATTAGGCTAATGTTATGGACTTTCCCAGAGTGTCTGCACTGACATTGCTATTAATAGTGTTATTACACCCATTAACAGTATATCCAGAGAACTGGTACAGCTTAAATTATTCACTGAATCCCCAACTTTGAAGTTCCTATTTCTAAGAGTAATCAGTAGGTCTGAAAAATATCTTTGATTAAATTATGAGGAGAAGGAAAAATGGAGCTGCTTGTTGGTCAAACATTACCTAGAGTCACCAAATAAGAGATTCAGGCCAATTGAAAAAACAAAAAACAAAGAAAAAACCCCCAAACGATTCCATCTCTGTTTTGATGGGGCAGGGAAAGAGAGCTGGCTGGGGGAATCTCAGCACAGGTATGCCCTGCATCACTCACTGTTTCCAAAGTGCGTGGAATTTTATCAGTCACTGCTGCAGAGAGACCCAAATGAGCTACAAATATCACCTTTTCCCACTATAGAGAAGCAACAGGCAGTTTACAGTTCAGACATTAAGCCCATCACTTAACTGCTTGGTACCCCAGTCTTCCTATCTATGAAATGGGGATGAGAGAGTACCCATCTACCAGAGATTTTTGTTTTTGGTCGGTCGTGGGGCTTGAACTCTGGCTTGGGCGCTATCCCTGCGCTCTTCAGCTCAAGGCAAGCACTCTACACTTGAGCCACAGTGCCACTTTCGGTTTTCTAGTGGTTTATTGGAGATAAGAGTCTCACGGACTTTCCTGCCTGGGCTGGCTTTGAACTGTGACCCTCAGATCTCAGCCTCCTGAGTAGCTTACAGGTGTGAGCTACTGGCACCCAGCTTCTACCAGAGTTTTTAATGAGGATTAAATGAGATGATGTGAGAAAAGTATTTAGAACAGGGCATGGTGCAAAGTAAGTTCTCAGTAGAAGATAGCTCATACTTCTCTGCCTTCCTCATTCCACCCCTCCAAACTAGCTGATGCAGAAGCAACAACCTTCTTGCCCAATGGCCCCCAGGGCAAATCAGAGGGAGATGCAAGAGAAGGCTACAACTGTCTTCCTCATAATGAGAGAGAAGGGTAGCTCAGAGGTCAGGAAGGAGAGGAGAGGAAAAGCTTGGAATGGGTTGTAGCTTTGTTTTCATAATAGCTGTCAAAGGCTGTTGAGAACTCAGCTCTCTTAGTGGAAAGTCAAGTTTAAGGTCAGACCCAGGGATGTTTTGACATTTATACCATCGTTCAGGACCCAGGAGGGTAGAGGCTGCAAATGTCCAAAGGCACAGACAATTGACCTTAAAATTGATAGGATAATGGAGGGGAAGGATACATTCCTTCTGATGTCTTACGGAGTCTGTCAAGGTAACAGTCCTCTGCATTCCTAGGTCTGTGATTTCCCAAGAGTTAGGCCAGAGGTAGCAATGTGCAAATTTCTAACTCTTGGAGGAGTCCCCAAGACGCTTACTTCCAAGGGCTCCAGGTGCTTGGGAAACCACCTCAATTCTACCATAGGGCATCCTTCAAGTGAAACAAAATGGTCCTGTTTCATTCATTTTCAGGACAGGAAAACAGAACTTAAATGAACTCCCAAAGTACAAGCCATGTGACTGTGTGTTTTCAGACATGGGTCTCTGCTACCATCAGTGTCACACCTGCCCCAAACACCAACCTTCAGCTGGTCAACAGGAAACAGTCTCCAAGCAGGCCCATGGGCTCCAGAATTGAATTCTTCCTTGTGGAACTTTTTTTTTCCTCCACTGCCTCTGCACTGGGCCCCTGCAGCCCAGATCAGAGGTGCTAACAGCCCTTGGGGAGAAAGCCCTAGGCCCCTGGAAGGGGTTATTATTCAAGCCAGTGGTTTCAATGAGATTATCCTCTCTAATGAACCAGCTACCTCCGCCTTCCCCTAAGCCTGAACTTTCACTGCTGGAGAATTCCCAGCCAAGTGGAAAATTAGAAGGGAGAGGAATGGAGAGAAGAAGGGAGTGAGAGAGAGGGAGAAAGGTAGTGATTAAGTTCAGTAGAAATTAATTCCTAAATAGTGAGAAAGAAATATTAACTCCCAGAGCTGCTGACCGAGCAAACATTTCAGCATGAAAATAAGGCTCTCCGTGAGATGGGCCTGGGCAAGCCCCTGCAGGCCCTCTGGGATGGGACAATTGAACTTGGATATCACAACCTGCTCCTTATTTCTCCCATGAGTCACCCCAATCAGTCCTTCACAGTGGTCATGGCTGTGCTGAAAATGCAACACTTGGGAACATCTGTGCTTAGAACATAAGGAGATTGAGAAAGAAAAAGGATGAAAGGAGGGAACCTTTCAAATGGGCCTCTCTATAGCTTAGGTCTGTGTGTGTGTGTGTGTGTGTGTGTGTGTGTGTGTGTGTGTGTGTGAGAGTGAGTGCTAACACTGAGTCTTGCACTCCAGGTCTCATGCTCTTATTTGGCTTTTTTGCTCAAGGCTGGCACTCTACCACTTGAGCCACAGCTCTACTTCCAGGTTTTTGGTGGTTCACTGATGATAAGAGAGCCTCAGGGACTTGCCTGCCTGGGTTAGCTTTGCATCCTGGACTAGATTTGATGCTCAAATCTTAGCCTCTTGAGTAGCTAGAGTTTCAGGATAGCTTAAATCTTGAATGACGCTTCCAAGGCCCATATGTGGGAAGTCTGTTGTTCAGATGGGCACTATGTGGAGGTGGCAGAACTTTTAGGTGTAGTCAAGTGGAAGGAACTTAAGTTCCTTGAGGAACTATTAGAATCCAGGGTTCTTTCTCATCTGGTCCTTGGTTCCTGGCTGCCAAGAGGTGAATGTTTTCTATCATACACTCCTGCCATGATGTACTCTGCCACCACAGGTCCAAAGTGATAGGACGAAGCAATGGCGAACTGAAACTGTGAGCCAAAATAAATGTCTCCTCTTTTAGGCTGATCTGCTCAGGTATTTTGTCACAGTGCTGTAAAGCTGATGAATACAGGAGGAAACAGCAAACAGTTCAGCATGTGTAATCTCTGTGGGGATGGGGAGAACATACAGGTTCTTTGATCACTTCCATCACCTCTGAGGACTCTGAAAAGGGAGAAGTGACTACCCCACTTCTGGAA